AAAAAAATCAGTTTCACTTATAATAGATCATGAATGTATTTCCATGCTCCTATGAAGATTTTAATGACTATTTGGAGTTTATATGGCCAATTCTCCACTATCGGAATTTATTAATCAAGCACTGATATGTGTACCTTCTATGTTCCAGATACATATAGATACCAACTCAGTCAACCCTCATCAATACCTACCATGTAACTCCTACGACTGCAGCCTTTTGCAAACGAGGACACCGAGTCACAGAGGGTTAAATAGCGTGTTCCCATCATACCTAACGTTAAGAGTGGCAGCTCCAGATTCAAACCCAGATAACGTGGCTCTACATCTGTGCTCCGAACATACTCCACGTCTCTTCACCGTGGTGAGAAGTGAAGGCTCCCCTTACCTGGATATTGCTTGCTGGACACAAGACTTCCCTGGAAAATAAGAAAACGGTTATGAGTCACTGCCTGTGAAATCATCAGCAGGCAAAGAAGCGGCTGGCCAGGATGGGTGTCGAGAAGGCGAGCCTAAGGAAGGCCTCAGTGTGGGACCCAAGCAGCTTGACCCCCAGGTTATCCACTCCCCAGGCAGAACTGGAGAGAGTATAGCTTCCCCCGACAGAGGGTGACTTCCTGGCACAGAGATTTTCTTTTACATTTTGCCCAGGAGCTGCTGCCTCTGACCCAGCCAGCTGGCTGGATGCCAGGGAGACAGATAGGAAGTACCTGGCTGGCTGCTCCTTTGCTGAGCCAGCAGGAACTTTGGCAGGGCTCGTGGTGGTGCTCGATCAGTCTATGGGTGACTTTGGTGCAGCATCTGGAGCTTATGGAAACCCTCTGGCTAATCTGGGGAGACCTGGGGGAGTACATAAATCCTTACTCATCCTGGCCTTGAGACTGGGTTGGGGATATGGCCACCTCCCTTCCTATCCTCTTCTGTACTGATCATATGACATCATTGTTGACAGTGATAATGGTTGTTTGACCTCATTAATTCTACCTTAACCTCCTTAATTCCCATAACAGTGCCAAGAAATTGAATAGCATTTATCAGCAATTATCCTCATTTTAGCAATAAAGAAAGGCCACCCTAGAGAGGCTAAATATTCTGACGTAAACAGGGAAGGGTGAACATTCACGAGGCCAAAGGAGCAAGATTACAGAGGATTAAGGTCAACCTGGGCCTACATAGTGATACCCTGTCTCAAGAAACACCAACCAAACAATCAAACAATAGGAAAAGCAGTACCCTGTATGGGCAATATTGAGGAGTTATAACCTTGATGTAAGCCTGTACCCAGAAGCAGGCCACCACAGAAAGCAGCTATGGCTGGAGGGAAACGACGGTTGAACTGCCTGCCCATCACTACTAGAAGAGAGCTAACGAACCACTTGGACTTGGTAAGGGAAAGTGTTACAGGCTAGAGAGGGTTAGAGGTTGAGTTGTTGAGACAGGGTCTCATGTAACTCAGTCTGGCTTTGGATTCTATGTACCTAAGGCTGGCTTCAAACTCTTAATCATCCTTCTACCTTCCAAGTCTGGGATTACAGGCTTGCACCACTAAGCCCAACTAGAAGTTACCTTTTATTTAAGCAACTAAGTCAGTTATGTGTAGAGACCGGGAGTAGAGTAATATAAAACACCATTCCGGTTTTCCTTCCAGGAGGTCTGTCAATTTCATTACCTCATTTCTTCTTTTACAAGGGAGCCTGAACACTCAGACCCTGCATGCAAAGGGAGTGTTGTAGGGTGAGCTGGCCTGAGGAGACGTGATTATCCCTGCAGTCTTGGCACCCGCCCCACA